GTAATCTTTCCAGTTTTTAATCAGATAAAATAGAACATCCAGTTTCATTCTAGCATGTGTGATTTTTAGTTCATCACATGGCTACGTTGTTTGATACTGTACTGCAGATAGAGGTGATGTAGTTACTGCAGCCTTGATGAGTGAGATACTGTGGATGTGTATAGATAAAAGCTTAATAAATCTGTAGATCTCATTTAAGAGAACTGTTAGCAGTATTATAAATCAAAAGCTCTGTTGAAACTACCTGTGATACAGCAGTAATAAACAAGTTACTGTAGTTTATAACTTCTACTAAAGTTCTGGGTTGCTAACTAAAAGTTTAATTCAAATTGGTCCTGTCTACTGTTTGAATTGTAACTTTTGTTTATTTAATTGTCATATTGTTGAGTAGTTTAAATATGGATTTCGAAAAATGTGGAAAATGGAATCGATTAACTTTTATCATTAAAGTATGCTTTTGCAGTCATTAAAACAAACTACTGTTGTCATCTCTGTTAATTATTTTTAGAACATTAAGTTAAAATATTATTGCAGAAAAGCTGGCTTTTCTGCTGAAGTTAACATGTTTAACAAGACTGCGTTCCTGTAACATCCTTCAAAGGAGAGAAAAAAAGTTGCCAAACCAAGGAGCCTTCAGAATGGAACACTGCTATTTTAACAGCTTTCAATAAATGAGGGACAAAGCATTTTTAATCAAGTCGTTCTGCAGGAAAAAGAATTAAATGTCAGTCTTCTGTTTTAGCTAAAGTAATAGTTCTTGGTGATGGGGATGTGAAAAAAAAAAATTTGACAATTGAATTGCAGAATTTTTCTGATGGAATTTTTTTGCTTTTTCTGTCATTATCCCGTCCCAAGTGAAAACTTTATATTTGCCTTGACTCGTAAAACAAAGGAAGTAAGCTTAAGAAGAAGTCCAGAGAGGAATTGTGAAGCTCAAAAGTGTTGCAATTTGAGATGATTAATATTTAGGGGATTTTTTTAGTGTGTTGGTTTTGAGTCCTTTAGCTGTTCAGATAGTCTGAGGTTCTGGAGAAATCTGACTGACTTAGCTTGTCTTTGTAACTTGCCCCCGTGTATCTTACTAAATTGTCTGTCCCCTGTTTGTTCTGTGTCACTGACTGATCTATGGCAGATAATGCTGCTTATTTTTAAAATTTTTTAAAGTGATCCTCTTATGCCTTATGACCCCAAGGGAGAAACGTGTTTTGTCCAAGTATTACTTTACGTTTTGACTTCATCAGAGGAACTAAATTATTGCTTCTGTTTCTTGTTAGTGGAGTCAGTTTTGGTCCTAGTGAAATCTTCAAAAATAGCAATAGCTTATTCTTTAGGTAATTGGTACAGTTTTCAGGTATGTGTTTTTCTGATGCATGCTACTCTTTAACCTCGAGAATAGGAATGGATCTTGAAAGGCTGTGCAGCTTGTGTTAGTGAATTTATTCCAGGTAAGCTCATCAGTTAAAATGTTTTGAGTGAAAAACCTTCCGAGAGATGTACTGCCAGTCATGTTTTTGTCCCAGTGGTGGCCTAATAGGCTGGGAAGTGTGAGTGTTCTCCTCTCAGAATCTTCAGCCAGTTCTAAATCATAGATTGAGCAGAAGTTATTTGTCGTGATTGCAGTAGTACTTAAAAATTTTATAGCCCTTCATAAGAACTCCTTGATATGTATTTTGTAATTTAAAGTAAAATGCTGCTTCATTTGAAGCTTTTTGAAATTAAAGTAGCATTAAGGCAGTACAATTCTTTTTCCTTTTAATATGCCATCCTATATTCTAATCAGAAAGAGAGAGGGTTGTCTTTTAGGAAACATTTGCTCTGGATCCTGGTGTAGCTTACCCTCTGAATTGCAGATTCAGCATCTTATGATCTATCTTGAGTTTTGGTATCCATTAAATATTACATACTTACAAGTAAATTTCCCTGTATTTTTATTTATTTTTTTTAGCTTGTATTTTGACGTGGTGCATACACAGAAAAGGAAAGTCTTCTGTGTACCTGCACCATTTTCATAATTTCCCTTGTGCTTTATGGTTTTAATCCACAGGAAGGTCAGATGACTTGAAAAAACATACTTCTGTCAAGTACTATTTCCCACTCTTGAGCTTTTAAGATACTGGGGGAGGCAAAGCTTAAACTGTATTTTATTAAATGGTTTATCGAGTTTGTATCTGGTTTGGGAGAAGTCATTCTTGTAAATAGGCTTTGTGTTCAGGTCAGTTATCACAGATGTTCCAAAACCAAAGTGTTGTGTTGTCTTTCTAATTCTAGCAAGAGACATTTCATCAAAAAGGGGGTGCCAGCACCCCTTTTGGCACCAGTGCTGCAGACGGAGAGCCTGCCTTGGATGTTGGTTACGTTAATAGTGAGCAGTGCAGCACAGAGTCAGGAACAGAGGAACATCTCTTTCAAAACATCAGTTTCGAGCATGAGATGATGTTCTTACATTCAGTAAGTTTAGTAATGTAGCAAGAAAGATGAAAATGCCTCCCACACAAATGTTTTCAAACCTCCCATGACACTGACAACAGGGAACAAAGCATGTTGTCAGCAAGGGGCAGGAACAACCCTGAGGTGTGGGTAGGCACTAAGGCTTATTGTCTCGCTTTCTGGTCAGAATTACTGTGCAGAGCTGCTGCTGCCAGAAGGCAGGCAGTGGCCCAGCGCTGGGCCCACGCCCCCATTGGTGTGCTAGTCTTTTACCATCCATGTATCATTTCTCCATTTCATCAGAACTAAAATTGTAGGGGGATCCTGGAAGTCTTCCACAGAAGTGTACTTCCTGAAGATTAATTGGTCCATTGTTTAGCTATCCTTGCCTTTTTAAAAGTCCTAATTCTGCCAAGCTTCAATGAGTCACATGCTCTTTCGGTGGGGGTTGCTGTCACTACCACACCTCGCTGAATTGAGTGTAATTTTAGGCTTTTTTTTGATCCTACTGCCCAGAGCCTTTGCATTTTGGGTCAGTGGAAATGGACTGTTTTGTAGTTCATATCCACTTCACAACAGGATACTACAGCTATTCAGGCAGCTCCTTCAGCAGCTCTTGAGTCCAGGAATCTTACAATCCTGACCCTCTCCAAGTCATGCAGGTGCTTTTGATGCAGTTTTGAACTCCTGTGAAGGATGCTGCTAGTTCTTGATTGTTTTTATTTTGTTTTCTTTACTCTGATGTGGGATCTTTGGTTTCACTGGTTCAATCTAGTGACTTTTGAGTCCAGCCTGCAATGGCAACTGTTGATGGATTTCCAACTTGGAGGTTTGTAGCTACTTAAATCTAGGGTTACTCAAAATAAGGACCATTGTTTTTATCTGTAACAGTGTTTCTGTGTTGGTGTCATAAGAGTTTGTTTACACTGTGGAAAATCCTGCCTTGGTCAGAGGGTTGACATACCGCTTACGCCTTGTCACAAAATGTTCAAAATACAGTATTCTGGCCTCATTAAAAATGTAGCTATCTTAAGTTAAATAAAAAAAAGGCAACCAGCTGGCAACTGGGTGGGGTGCCAGTGCTGCAAAAAGTTGTTTTACTTGCAGCTACCTTAGTCATGCCATGGCTTTATACAGGCTGTTACAGTGGATCCTAAGGACTGTGTGGAATGAAGCAGCAGGATTCTCAAGGTTGAGCAGACAGTTTAGAGGTATGCCTGATACTGCAACAATTCAGGGATGACCTTTACTAAAAAAGAAAATGTACTTTGGAGCAATTTCTGTGTAAACAGATATGCAGGAAGCTGAAGAATTCTGCTTATTTGGTATGTTTCATCACCTGGGAGCTTGTTTTAAAGACTGTATGCAATAATTATGATGACAATCCTAGGCTTTGCACTCAGCAATATTTAAATTCTTCCGAAGTTAAGTGTCTTTAAAATATAATGTGGATTTCAAAGGGAATATAGTCTGCAGACTTAATATTCCTGGTAAGCTTCTTAAATAAGTTAGATCACTTTGCTTGTAGTACAACAGGAAGAAAACCACAACTGGTTAATGCCTAACCTGCAGTGATTGATTATAGAAAATGTGGACGTTTTTCATAGGATTAGTATTTTTCAGTGAGGAAAAAAAAACTATAGAATTTCTAAAATATAAATATACAGCTTTTATAATCCACAGTGGTGTTATGGATCTCTGGTATTCTCTAAATGACTGACTTAATTTCTCTAGATGCAGTCTGAAAATAAAAAGGTAAAGTTTCTAACCAGCCATCCCAGCAGTAGCAGCGCATTAGAAAATGAATCACTGTTCCTTTTTTTTTTTTTTCCGATGCATTATCATGGTCTGATTCAGGTGTAATACAATTACAAGTGACTTGCAGTAGTCAATGTAAGAGCCGTGAGAGCCCTTAAAATTATAATGTATGTTCAGGATTTAAAGGAAAATTTACTTAGGAAGCAGTGTTGGAAGTTTGTGACTGTAGCAGCTGAGGTCAGGCTGAGAGAGGAGAAGACTATTTCAGTTGTTCAATAGCTGTGAAAAATGGGGAACTAAGTCTTGTTACTATATTTATATATAACATTGAAAAAGTCATTCTGATTTGAAATGAGGAATATTTCAGTGTCACTTTTTGGTGTTGATCAAAACCAATTATGTAAGTTGATTTTAGCAATGTAGATTCTTGCTGATTTTATTGACAATAAATTTCTTTACATTATTGATTTTTACATTATTACAATATATTACACTAAGTTCATGTTTGTTTGTTTGTTTGTTTTTTTCTCCTGGAAGTAAGTTCCCGTGGAAGGGAAATAGGAAGCAAACTTTGAAATCTAAAATAAGGACTAAACTGCTTTTCATTTACTTTTCTACCCTTTGAGATGCCAGAAGCAATTTCCTCTTGAAGCTGACTTCCTTTCTGGAAATGATTTTCGTCTCCAACCATGTTGAGGCTCTTTTCTCCTTCTTTCATTCTGACTAACTTGCTTTTTTCCCCTCTGACTTTCTACTGTAGTTGAGAACTTCTGGAGGTAAGTAATTACAGGCAAGTTTCTCTAACTTTCTTTTCCAGTTCTCCCCCCTACTGCCCCCCCCTCACCCAGTCAGTCTAGAAGGACAAACAAAGCACTATTGGTGTCCTCTGCAAGAGAGCACTGATAGGGGGCTGGCTGTAAATTGACGTGGCATGGAAAATCTCTGCTAGTTTGTAGCAGCTCTAATGTTGCTGCGAAATCAAGCCCATTCCCACCAAGTTTGTAGCTTGGAAATCACCACAGGATTACTGTTTCTATATAAAAAATGAATGGAAAGTACCTTGGCTTTTTGATTTGGGAACCAGACTTTTTCTCTGTTTGGATTTACAGCTAATAGAAAAGAAGACCAAAGGGAATTACTTGGTTACTTTTTTTTTTTTGCTTTCCTGTAGTGAGAGCAACAGATCTTGCTGCTCCCCCCACCTTTTCCTGCAATTTAATCATTTGCAGATCTTGCCATGGGGTGCGGACTAAGAAAGCTGGAAGACCCAGATGATAGCAGCCCTGGAAAAATCTTTTCTACATTGAAGAGACCACAAGTTGAAACAAAGACGGATTCTGCTTATGAATATGTATTGCTGGATTTTACTTTAGAAGGTATCTTTTTATGTTCTATCTTTACTTTTCTGAGAAGGCAAGGAATAGTATTTAACTTAGTTCTGTCTTGTTTGACTTACAGTAAATCTTAGATACTTTTATCAGAGCTAGCCAAAACGTAAGACTTTTATTTTGAAACACAAATCATGACGAAGGTCCTCACTTACATAAAATTACAATGGCAACTACTGAAGTATTTTTAACAACCAGACCTCCAAATTACACAACTGTCCTTGTTAAGGAAGATGGCTAAAAACTGTTAAGAGATTTTCCTAGTTTCCTGTGAGTCAGATACTGCCATCCGTACTCGCTCTGAATAATAGTTGTCTGAATTCAGTGTGACGGTTCAGAAAATACACTCTGCCTGAGCCTTAATTGAGTAACAATTTTTAAAAATGCACTCTACTTTCAAAAACAGGCTGTCATTGTCCTTGTTACTTTATGCAGAAGTAAGTCTGTGTCTTAGTTGTATACCAGTAGCTTCCCCTCTTATGCCCACCCCAGTCTTCTGGTAGATATTTTAGTAAGAGGTTTAGTTTCATCTTACTATTTTTTTCCAAATGCTTTACTTGCAGTTGTTGAATAGTCTTTTGAAACTGTGACCGAAATGAAACAGAATTTGTATGCATAGCTAGAGGCAGACAGTGCTCTGTGGGATACTTCCTTCCCGAGGGTGTCCCGTCTCTAACAGAGCAACTCCCTGTTCTACAAACTTGAAAACATAAACAAGCCCAGATGGCTGCCCTCCGAGAACAGGCAGCTCAGTTTTGCAGTCACTTTATGGTAACTTGCATTTTCGAACAACCCAATCTACTGGAAATTCCTAGTAACAAGGATTGGGAGTAAATGCCGTTGCTAGAAGGGTTTGATAAAGGGAGACAGTGTAAGTACATGTATTCTTACATTTTCATAGACAAAACTTGTCCTCTGTTTAGCTTAACTCTAATTTAAAGGACTGTAGTAATAAAATTATTTAAAATAGATGAGTCTGTTAATTGAGAAACTGCAATATACTCATAAAAGCCACACTTTGTTAATTTCTAGTACTTGACATCCAACTATATTTGTTGTTTTGTTTACAAAAATGAAGAGTTTCCCACTGGCTTGTTCTTTTTGAAGAAACAAAACTTGTAGTAGTAATGATAATGTACTACAAATAAAGCCATGCTACCTAATGCATACATGAATTACCTACTCATCTACTGATAAAGGAAAGGATAATAAAACTTAATTCTTTTTGCGGGGGGGGGGGGGGGCAGGCAAGGGAGGAGGGTTAAGGACTGAAGAACATGTAATGTTCTTAAATAGTCTGTGTTCTGAATAGTTTTGCTGTGGTTTAAAGTAACAGGGTTTCTGGAAGTGCTGTGTAAAGGATTTGTTGTATACCTGGTTGTGACTTAAAAAGGCACATCAAACAAGTGCAAATAAAGGTGCATCTCTATTATTTAAATAACCTAGCAGTACAGCAGTAAAGATTCATTTTCACCTGTTTAGTCTGATATTCAAAAGTGCTTAGCTTCAGTGACTTACTGTGGAATTATGAATGCTAAATAAGTGATATCAGTTTTGGGTAGTTGGGTGACTTTTTTAGGTTTCTAACTGTAAGCAAGTGCATTTGTGAACACAGATATCTGTCCAGTGGTTATACCTGTCTGTGTATTTGACCTTAAAATATTTTTTTTTTTGTTTGGGCTTTCTACTGTTTAGAGCTAAGATAATGATTACAGAAATAAATGTATATACTAGCTTGAAGGCACTTCTGAATTCTTTTTGCGTATGAAATATGGGGATTGGCTAAAATACTGTGGAGAATATGTTGGGAATTACTTTTTTTTTTTTTTTTTTTGTCCCTTCTACCCTAACCCACTTGCTCACATACTTGTTGCTACTTGAATATCCTTTGGCTAAATAAAACCTATGTGAGAGCCTTTTATCACTTCAGACCAAAGTTGGTTTTCACTCTGCTGTCAAGTTGTGTTGTGTCTTCATGGCACTCTGCTGATTTTCCTAGCAAGGTCTTCCCCAACATGTGAGATTTCTGTTTGCCTGAATGACTTGTTACCACTGGATCTTGCACCAAGTAAAACAGAAAATCTGCACTTATCTTACTGGAGGATCTTATAAAGGATACTATGTCCTGCATAAAGATAAAAATATAGCAAGCATAAATATGTTATTTCAGTTTAATATGCCTTATTCTCTGCTTCATCAGATTTATGCTATGTAAAATCAAAATGAACCTGTTGGGGAGACTTTTAGGAGTCCCTGATCTTCTCTTAAACCATGATGCAGATTAGGTCAACCACGCTGTAGTCTAAATTTGCTGTCTGGAGTACCCACACATCTTAACTAGCTATCAGCAGTGTACTGGACCTTAGCTTCTCCTGTTCTTGTCTGCAGAATACTCCCATCCATACTGCAAAAATCAGCTTTGAGTTCCATGGAGGTTCTTCTGCATCAGGAGAATCCCAAACAAGAAAATTACAGCCAGTCTTTTATTTTGGTGGGATTGAATGGTACGAAGGAAATGGAGCAGTCGACCCTGAAGTGTAATTTTAAATGCCTGGATTGTCAATTCTAAAGTCTCAGTCACGAGGCATATCTCAGTTCCAAAAACAGCTGTTATTTTTTTGAGGTCAGTTTAACCATAAAATAGGGGTAGTTTAAATACTCCTATTTAAGCAGAATGTTTATGCGTTTTTCAACAACCTTTGTGTGGGGGAAAAGAAGGAATAATGATGCAGCCCACTAAGATGACATGCTGTGAAGTTCTCACTCGGTGTAACAATATGAATATATATATATGAAGCAGCTGTTTTGTCATCTTCAATATTGTGCATCTAAAATTTACTATACTGATAGCAAGTCAGCTGTAGTTCTATGTGTTAAAGTATTTTGGCTACCTATTGACAGCACATCAGGAAGAAAATTTTCTTAATGAAAAATGACTAAAACATTTGCAAAATCAGTAAATGGTGATCATGTTGTATACGTTCCTGCTTTTTTGGCTTGTGGCCTGTAGACCAGTTATTACTTCAGTACATAGTTAATGTCTCCTGAATGTACTAGGAGTGGAATCATGGCATGGAGGTGTTACAAAGAGTGAAATACCATCTGTCTCTGAAAGGGGGGCTGTGATGTACTGTCTGCTAGAAAAAAAAACCACAAGGTAGCACAAGAAAGTGCAATAGCCCAGTCACTGTGACTGAGAATGTCAGATTTTAGATTAATAGGTTGAGTTTGTTAGTTATTGGCAGTAAACCATGAATATGTTGGCGATACTTTTTCCTTGTGTGAATTTCCCATGGTACGTGTTACTCTGGTTTCTCTTGATGGCTTTTCTGAGTTGTTACAGCTCTTACCATGACAAGCAAAGTAGGCTTCCACTCCTTTTTTCCCTTTGGTAAAAGTTGGTATTTAAAAGCCTTCGAGTGTTGTAAAACATTAGTTTCTGGTGTGTTTGGTTTTTGTTTGGTTGGTTTTTTTAAATCTCTGTACTGTGTATATCTATATATAGATCAGTATTATCCTCATTTTATAGTGGGAAAGCAGTATACAGATTGATGTTTTATAGAACACATCACTCATGAACCAGAAGAATTATAATTCTGTTTATTAGAATAAAAGATTTAATTAAACTAAAGATTGATATATCTGATTTATGATACTTGAAACCAGTTGAGTGGGGAGACTTTGACTTGCTGTGTGTTTGATAAAGTGCTTAATTCCTTGCTATTGCTCACCTGCGATATAGGGCAGGTAGATAAGGGGATGCAAGAATGTGACATTTACTCTTAAGGAATACATTTACGAAGTGGTGAGTGAGATTTATGTCATTGCATTTGCCTGGGTTTTTTTCTTCAATATATACTTTGTTAAAATACAGAATCAAAGGAGAATTAGTATATTTAATTGTTTTCAATTTATTTTATTCTTTGAGAAAGAATGTTTAAAGCATCATGTTAAAATGTTTGTGTATTAGTGTTGTGAGGTCACGTAATTCCAATTGAAGCATCCTTTAATACAGCTGAACACTGGTCTTAGTGCTCTGAAAGCCTTGCGAAGAGAGGAATCCATCAAAACTCAAAGTATCTCACTTGCAGCAAGGGTCACTGATAGAGACCATCAAATTCTAAGCCAAGCTGTCTTGTCATAAGGGTTCATATCTGCAAAGAATGAAAAATTTGATGATGGCAAATATATTCTGGCATAATTACTCTCAGTTAATGTCTGTATATGAGTATTGATGTCCTGCTCTCTGAGAGCATCTACAATTCCAATTGGAGTTGGAGGGAAGACGAAATAGGGACCATCAGACTGACTGTGGCAGAATATATCATCTGTTACTGGTGTGGAATCTGCCTTTTTTCTGTGTAAAAGCTGCGGATCAGACCATTCAAAAAAGGTGCTCTGAAAACTTCCCTCCTTTATTTCCCCAGTAGCCTTGTGGAACCTCACTGTTGCCTATTGATTGGAAATGCTTGTACACACTCACGGGGAGCCTCTTTTAAAATTAATGACACCACATAGCTTAAGTGACATGTACTTGGGTCTACTAGAAAAAGGAATTGGGACTACATTAAAATTTCAACCTACAATCCACAGATCACTTCTAAGGGATCAAAAAAGAAAATGAGAAAAAACAGTTGTTCTAGGCTCAAATTCATTGTATGGGAATTTACCTCACAACTAGGGCTGAAGGATTTTAAGGCTTTGTCCAGACAAAATAGTTGCTTTAAGTTCAGACCCGTTGTGTGTTTAGATGTTGATGCAAATCTTAAATTAGCTTGGCAAAGCTAGATCCAACAGGAAGTGTTGCCAAATCGATTAAAAATAGATCATACTAACTTGTAAAAATATGTACTTCCACTAGTTGAATACTGTTGAATCAACTGTGAATCTGCTTTTCCTGTATAAATAGAACTGTAGCTTTTTAGTAAATCCCTTGGGATAGATTTTGTGTAGTTTATATAGAAGGAACTCACCCAAAAACTACATCAACATACACAGTATAATGTGTTTCTCTTCTGCTTTCAATGCTTTTAGCTTCCTCAAATCCAGAAGTTATCAAGATCAGTTCTGTGTTGGATATAGCACCTAAGGTGGAAGAATATTACAGCAAAGGATATATTGTAGGAGCCATTCATCCTATCATACTGCCAATTGGACGTAGAAGGAATTTCCCTGCAAGTCACATGTATCGAGTGGTACTTTCACGATTAAAATTAAGGTAACAGCGATGTAATTTGAATACATTGATGCATTACTTAAGCCATTTGTAACTGGATTGCTCAACATGGATAATTTATTATCATCTTGAAATGAGCACCTCAGAGTCAAATAACTGTTCCTTGTCTAGAAAAGTGAGCAAGGTAGTAACAGTTTTTTAATTAACACTAAGCACACAGTAAGCTAATGTTTACTTTGCCTTAGTAAATGTCCAAACAAAAATCCAAAGTTGCTTATCATAATTTATGTCAAAATAAACTGTTTACCCTTTTATTTTTAATAAATTTTTATCATAAAGTGTCATCTGTTCAGAATCTACAGCAAATATAAGATTAAACAAAAAACTAATGAGTAATAAGCTGCTTTAAATTCTCTTATGTTTTTCTTAATTTTGAAAACACTTCTGTTCTTACTTTTCCCATAAGAGCATTATTCAGGGAAAATTACCTATAAAGTATCAATTAAACTGTCAGAGTTAATTTTTCCTTCTTAAGAAGGAAACATTCTGTGACTAGAGGTCATACAAAAGCTTGATTTGACATGAGAGAGTATCAAGAGTTTGTGTTCATATTTTAGCTCCATAGTCTTGCTTATTACTCCTGTTTTTACTGCATTGTAATCACCATGTGATCATAAAATGTACAAAGAAATTTTACCATTTAATTCCTTTGAATGCAAAGATAACCATTTATTTTGAATAACTAGAGAAGTGGATTTCTTACTGTGTTAAGAGCTGCGATTCTTTGCCTTCTCTCCTGAGTCCTAGTGCAATGCCCAAAGGTTCTCTCATTTTCTTTTGGAAGACTGGAAGGGTGTGAGTTGGAAGGTGCCCCCAGCCACTCCAGTAACACTTCTGTAAAACATGGTTCAATTGAGGGTGCTTCTCAAGCACTTTGCTTAAACTAGCATTGTCTGTGGTATTTGCTGCTTGTTCAACTTGCCTTTATAAATTCATCTGCAAACCAGGTGAATGTTGTCCATGTGGGCAAATGCTTGATTAAGAAAAGCAGAACACTTGCTCTGTGGAGCTGAGGCTTCTAAGAGCTGACTCTACCCAGCACGCAGCTCCCACAACCCGCCTTATCCCTGTGGATATGGGATCCTTACGAAGTTGTGGTTTGAAGCTTTAGGACCTTGAACAGGTTAAGGCTGAGAACCCTGCAGCTGACATTTGAAACTTGGGTATAGGTTCCCACTTTTCTGTTCAGGTGCCATATGTACAGATGTTGGTTTTCCTATAGGCAAATATACCTTCCTCCAACTACCATCTGGAAAGTAACATTTTTGTATTTGAGTCTGTCTCGTTGATGTCTCGTTCCAAAGCAAAAGAATGTGTGAAGGAAACATGCAAAAAAAATACCATTATATTATTGATATACATCAAATATTGCTGTCTGAGTAATAACGGGACTGGCTTTAGATAAAAAAAGACCTAACCCAAAGTAGTTCTTACTGCTTTGTATTTCTAGTATTTGCCTACACTGTATTTCATACAATAGCTGCAATTCCGCTTTAGTTACAAAACCATGTTTTTTTAACAGCAGCGTGTTAACAGTGTTAAAAGTACCGTTTCTATTAATACTGTGTTTTCTGCAAAACTGAACCTGTTTTGTGCTTGCTGCATTTAGAGCTTGAATTCATATTTTCTGCATTATCAGAGATTTTTGTGTTTGTTTATTACAAAAGCAGGGCTGTTTGTCAAAATAACTCAGTTCTTAAAAGATGTATGTTAACAGTCTTCACATGAAATTCCTGTTAAATATTCTTACCCTGACTTTGTAATACACAGTACCTGCCACTTTGTGTTAGAAAAAGAATGAAACAGTAAAAACTGCAGAGTTCTAAACAAAAGTATGAAGAAGCATTGCCAGGATTTCGTTCATAACTATTCCAAAAAGAAAGAATTCTACATGCAAGCATTTGCTGAAGTTAGCGGTGAACCACTGACAAAGACAGCTTTCTTCCTGTGTTCTAGCCAGAAGCAGGCAGCACCCAGAGGACAAAGGCACCCCAGGCTGGTGATTGAGGAATGTCCTTTAATGTATGAAACGCTGACAAATGAGGTAGTGAAAGAACTGTTGGAAAAGGTAATGGAGGACTTTTTCAAGTTTCTCTTCAGATTTTTATTTCTACCATATGTATAAGTTATATTTAGTGGTTGATAACTTTTTTAGTTTTGAGTTTTAACCTTGGTTTATTTTATAGAAGCTACAAAGTCTTTTCTTGATGCAAAAAGAGTTACTTTTCTTCACCAGCTGCTTTTTCTAATTTAGGACTTAGAACTGAGTCTTGTAAAGCTTTGGGAGGCTGGCCGCTTACACCACCAAAAGCAGAATCAGGCTTTATAAAATGCTACTGTGATAGCTTTTTCTGGAATTAATAATAAAAAAAAAAATCTAAAGGTGTATGTTGTTCTGGATTAAGTAAGGTATTCCTAATAACCATGAATATATTCAATTTCTAAGAAAGATTTTTCTTATTCTTTAGCAGAAATAGGAAATGCACAGTAACTTTATTAAATATTTACTTGGCCCAGCTTTTGAAAATACTGTGTAGCTAAAGAAAACTAAACGTCCACTGGAATGCAAGTTCCAGTTCTAGCTCTTTTTGTGTTTAACTTCCTCTGCAAAATTGAAGACTTGCTGAAACAGGAAACTATTGTTATTACAAGAGTTAGTGATATTTTTCACATTAGTTGCCAAGGAAAGAAGTAGAGGAAAAAGCATATTGGATATCTTTGAGCTTTGAAATTATCACAGAGTTGTTTAAAATGTCTGAATGGCTTGCTTTGAAATTTTCAGGTGTTTCAAATATAAAATGAGATTCTATGACACACTTACACTATATGCATATTGCCAGGTTGGTTGTATAGCATAGCAGACAAACACTTAAAGCAAAAAACCACTTGAAATTAACAGTGATATTCTTGCAAGCAAATCCGGTATGCAAGTATTATGTGAAAATAATTTACTTTTAAAAGGCTTAAAAAGACTGAGCCAGTAATACAGTAAAAAATAGGGGTGTTTTTTTAAAGATCTGAAACAATAAGACTTTGTGGCATTTTAAGAAAAGATTGTCATATTACCTGTTTCCCTGCATGCTGCTTCTCACACTTAAAATTATTTTGGTTGTCGTAGAAGTAGCATCTCTATCATCACAGTGATTGGCATATCATACTGCTGTACATACATAATAATGGTAGATAGTAACACTTGAGTCTCTCATGGTAGTAAAAAGCGATTGTAGTACCATCAGCTATTTGAGTGCCATTCAGTCTGTTGATTAATAGTTTATGCGAGTTAACTGAGTAGAGATCCTTCCCTCTCTGCCCTCACTTAATTCAGTACTTCCCAGATGATTTCTTCTTTCTGACCTGGGGTTTCTGTATTTTCCTGGAAAGACTTGATTGCAGAGGGGAGCTTGTAGCACAGGATGGCAGTGGGATCACCTTCCTAAATGGCAGCACTCCTTATCCCAGCAAAAAAAAACCCTTTCCTCCAAGAACAGACACATCCCCCAGGTGGCCCATATTCTACAGCTGTGTTGTAATTCTTTGGTGTAGAGAAAAAGACCCACCACTGGTTGAAAGCAGAGTTAAGAGGGTTTAAATTTGCCTCTAGTTGGTCCCTTTCTCCGCTCCTTCACTCTTCTCAGTAATAGTGCAGCTGAGTAGCCTCTAAGGGAACCAGGGGATAATGAATCATGACATGTGACAAATATTGCCATGGTATTAGTGGTCAATAACTTCAGTAGGACTGGTATCGCGTGTTCAGAGAAACATTACTGGTTATTGCGCCAGTATACTGCTTATCACTACGATGCAGCAAGTAAAACACTTTGGATTTGTTTTAAATTAAGGACTTCATATACACTAGAGTCAGTACCAGTGTTGGCCACCTTTCTTGGCCTGGGCCCAAAGGCATGCTGGAAAACTTCCATTTACTCTGAGACATGGGCAGTGTACAAAGACAAGGCACCCTTCTGTAGTATAGTGTTGTGTCTTTTGTCCTTGAAAATCAGCAGTTCAATTAATCAGAACATATATAGAAGGTTTTTTAAAAAGTTACTTGCAATTCTAAATTCACTGTGCTTATGAATTTCTGTTGTAAACACAGGTTAATGAAGCTTCTAAAAGAGGAAAGAAGTTTGTGGGATTTGTAACACAACATTCTCCTCAACCTAAAGCCTGTAATGGAACAAGCACAGATGGAAGTGCAGAGCTGGAATCAACACTGGGCAGGAGGAATAGGGAGCACAGAAGAAAAAATTCTGATGAAAACTATAAAAACTGGAATGAAGGGACATTGAGTGGTCACTCATCTGAGAGTGGGATAGAGGAGGAAATGCAAGGAGAAAGCAGTCTGTTACAGGATGCAGATTTCCAGTTTGGAAAAGAAGTCAGCCCTGTTAAACCACAAAAAGGAGACGGTAATAAAAGCTGCTTGTTTATTGCAGAAATAAGGTATTTTATTGAGCTATTGCTTTAAAAAGGTGTTTGGAAAAAATAGTACTGGAACAGCATGTTCTGTTGTATCAAATACTGTTTTTGGAAGGTGTGTAACAAATATGTGGCAGTAAAAATCTTTTATTTTAGAAAGATACAATTGTTTAAAACCACTTTCCTAAATGCGTATAGTTTTCACTTACTCTTAATGTTAAATCATAAACATGTAACAGATTTCCAAGAATACCTTACGATTCCAGTTCTGCCTGTTTCAAAACTGGCAACAATGAGAGCCCCTTCTGGCTAGAGCTGTAACTTTACGTGCCTTTAGCCAACTCGCATAATGCACAGCAAATAAATCCATTGGCAATGGATTCTTTCTGGTTAACATGCCTTCAAGAAACATCCTGAAAGAGATCACTTAAATTAATGCATTGACCATGAAATCAAAGATGATGATTGTTACAAAATGAATTTACACTAGAGAAAAGTAAGCATTGAAAAGTTGTATAGGAAGGAGAAATATAATTGAAAAATGTTGGAGCTGTGATAGAAAACTTAGTTGTGGAAAAGTCTGAGATTGCCTGAAACAGTGACTTCTGATACAGAAGCACTAAGGCTTCCTGTCTTGCTAGGAAGAAAAGGTGAAAAGGAAGAAGTAGTACAAAGCATGAGAACTAATGCAAGATAGTGTTGTGTAGAAAGCAGGCAGCATGAAACTTTCATGTCAGATTGCATTTTGACATAATAGGTTCTTTCTGATGGGCCAGACGTGTTTAAATTGCTGTCAAAAGCAACCTTTTCACTTCCCTGTTAGGAGTTAAGCACCCTCTCCAGTTTGTAGACTGTCAGGATAATGACTCGAAGCACTGAGATAATCAATGTTCCTCTTATTTTATCACTTGAATTAAAGCAGTTCTCTACAACTGAGCCTTTATAGCATGATCTGTTATAGCTTAACTCTTTCGTTACAGCTTGGAATAGTGGGTTTGCTGTAGTAGCAGAATAGAAATCCTGTCAGTAAAAAGCAGAAAACTCTTGGTTCTGTTAAGGAGCTTTGTTCACGCAGACTGGCGTGACCAGGTAGATTAGCAACCTGTGAATCCCCTACATGGAGTGTTTCCAGGAAATTCTTCAAAAAGCTTTGGCAAGAGTATGCCACACTTCTCTATACCAGTCTAACAGTAAAGTTATTGGGATTCATAAGACAAACTTCTGAAAACTTAACCACCTTTCTTTGTAAATGTTCTGTGTGTGTTCTATGTAACTATAATGTGAGTTCAGATTTGGGGGGTTGTAACATGAATTTTGACTATTTGCAGAGGCAAATTGCTGATACACGAAAGCAGTTGAGCAGTTGTGTCAGGAAACTTGATGTATTTGATATATACTTCGATATAAAAAAAGTGATCTCAAGTATATGGTAAAGGAAATTAAGGTTTGTCAGGAGAAACACATTTATGCTAATACAACCACTTGAGGAGGTGATAAAATAAAATTGTATAGAAAGGAGAGTCATTTCTTACTGGTAGAGTTCAAAGCTTTGTCCTGAATTTACGTTATTCCAGGCACCAGATGTCACCTGCAGTGGGTGTGGTAGCACTTCTCAAAATAGGCAGGGGTTCTCTCAGACTGATTCAGACTAATTACAGTCTAAATCCTACTTTAGAAATCTCCCTCTATTTCTGGAGCCTAGAGAGACTAGTATCTTAAGTGTGGTCATCTAAACCAAGTTCCTTTGTTTTGGCAATGCGTATACTTCTGCCTTCTGGAGGTTGGTGTGTGTTGATTTAGGCAGTGCAAATGTTGAAGTATTAGACAATCTGAGAGCATTTTTTGGCAACTGCTTTGTGTTCTTTCTCCACAGCACTGACATACATGTGAGTGTATTTGAAGAATATATTTATATAGCTAGGACTTGATACCTTGCCACCAGTCACTTCCTAAAATGCTATGGATATTGAATTTTAAGTTTTGGTGATTGCTTGTTTGACTCTGTAGCAGCACTGTATTAATAACTACATGTAGAAAGCATTTGAGGATATGCAGGTTTTGCATGCTTAACTGTTACACTCATAAGTTACTGTGTGGGAAACACCAGTAGGCAACCAATTATACCGGTACTTAAGTAATCTGAAGAAAATAATGGGTGAAAATCAATGCTATATAAGGCATTCCTAATATGTAAACATTTAGAAAGTTTTCTTTAACCTTCAGTTACAGTAATTTCAAATATTTGTAGTCAGAAGTTCTATGAGTAGCAGACATGAAGCCTGCTTGTACTACATGTTTTTCACTCTAGTAGATTTTCTTAATGCATAACCCACCTACCTAAAAGGTCCAGTGACAATCCAACTGTAGTATGTTCAAATTTTTCTCTTATCCCAGAGTATATCCCCCTCACACCTCATCCTGAGCTTGTTTAGGGCTGAAGCACCGAACAGTCACATCAGGAAACAATTCTTAAAACTGTTGCTAAGAATTAGAAAACCATGTTGAAAGAAGATACTAATAATATTTGTGTTTTGGAGCACTGTCTTCCAGAGGTCCGTTCATTCTTTCTTTTTCTTTTCTTAGACAAGCTATATACAGCCTTCAATGTTTTTGATGATGATTCTACCTCCTGGACCTATCATGAAGGTGTTTTGTCAATGAAAGTAACAAGAAAGGGGCCAGTTATTAGTACACTGGAAGCAGACTGGCTAGAATTAACCACATTTCATTATAAACAAGGATTGTCCTTAATTGATTCTTTTGTACACTGGGAAACTTCTAAAGGTAAGTACTGCCCCACAAAGTCATGAAGCTTTTACTGGTTTACGTAGAACTACATAATTTGTATAAGTAGGTCACGTTTGGCTTTTTGGTGTGAAGGGCAATATGTGAACATGCTCAAGTAGTCATTGTAAATTTATGAAATCTGATACCTGAATAGGAAATAACTTGTTTGCTGGACAGTTATAGCTCAGAATAATGGAAATTTCTGCTTTGTTTTATCAAATTTATGATTTCCAAAGTAGGAAAGTAGTGTAGCTTTTGTGCTAGTTCACTTTAGTGTAGCTTTTGTGCTAGTTCACTTTAGTGTAGCTTTTGTGCTAGTTCACTTTAGTGTAGCTTTTGTGCTAGTTCACTTTAGTGTAGCTTTTGTGCTAGTTCACTTTAGTTTTCCCCTTTTTTTTAAGGGAAGAGATAATTGGAAAAAATCATTAAGTATGTTTCCCTGATGTTCATGTTCTGCTGCTCGCTGTAGATACTGTGCCACACTGACTATTTCTAGTGAGACCGAGCACCTTGAGTTCTCATTGGGCTTGCTGTACTGTTAAACCTAACTTGGACTTTCTGTGCTCCCAGCTCTTTGCTGGGCTTAAGAGTTTCTTTCCACAACACCAAATTGTACTAAAATTTGACCGATTCTGAAGTTTCAGGATGTTTCTGCAGGTTGTGCTGGTCAGATGGATGTCAGTTATCTGTAGAGAAGAGAAATTTTTTTTTTCCTTGCCTTCAACTGTAGGCAGATTCTCTAGGACCTTACCACACAGCTGGGAGAGAGGTCTTCGCTGGTCCCTCCTGCTTCTCGCACTCTTCTGCAGGCATCCACCAGCTCCGCTAACACTCAGATTGTTACAGGGATAGAGCTTCAGGCCCCAGGATTTAAACAGTTTCTTCTTCATTCTGCCCGTTTCAGCTCGGTCTCCATTTCTGTTCTGGGGAGATCCTGCTAGCTCTGTCAGAGTTGCTAGCCTTCCTCCTCCTGCCGAGCAGTCAGGGCTGATGCCAGCAGTGGGGCAGCTGGCCCGGGCCCACGGCTGCACACCCCGCTGAGCCCAAAACCCCGCGCGCGCGTCGGCAGGGCTGCGGGGCAGCGCCGTACCCCTGCTGACAACAGGAGAAGCCCGTTGTTGGCTGAAGCATTTTGAACTGTAAAACTCTGTTGTTGGTGAAATACGTAATTAAGAGATTCATTTCCATTTGAACTGAATCTGTCTGAAAGCCAGAAATTACAAGTGTCGGAAAAAATAGCAGGTAGCTACTGTTGTGCAATTACTTGAAAATAATGTGAAGAAAATGGTAGTACTGTAGCGTTAGGGAAACAGACCAAGAGAGTCTGACATAGTTAATAACTTCAGAATTTATTAATTTGGGTCATAAATGTTGTTTGATAGCGAGCTTAGAATTTATACTTCTCTAATATGATACTGTGATCGGGTTTGTTCATGTCTTGCTTGTACTAAGTCACGGGTGTTCCTTTAGAACTGTTCATGGCAGTTCAATGTAAGCAAGCAAAACACAGGACTCCAGTGGAGAAAAATCTTGTGCAAAGTTTGAAAAGGCTTCACAGACATTTAAGCAATTTTTGCAATATTCAGGCTGATTATTAGGTGCATTAACTTAATAATTTATTTAATGTATTTACTTAATTTACTTCAAGTATTGAGGTGACTTTCATAAGTCATTTTACATCTCCTTCTTATACAAAGCATGGAGGGGTAGAGTTACTGAGATTTTGAGTAGTTTGCGTTTTTACTACATATCTTATTTAATGCATTTTTTCCAATAGTCTGATTTAAAATAACATGCATTCAGGATCCCCTTTACAAGGCTGGGATAATGAAGGGGTTACATTAAAAAAAGCTCAACGTGTAAAGTCTTCGGAGATTAGATGATGCAGGTTCTTCAGGAATCAAACCCTGAAAATAATGAGAACTCTTCAGTTTTTTTTGTTCATAGTTTCGTTTTGAGTGTGAATCACTGCATTTCTGTAGCTCTGCAATGAAGTAAATGTAGTGCTTGTCAGAGGAACACAAGCGCATCAACATCACTATATTTTCCTCAGATGGAATTTGGCAGCTAGTCCCTCTCGGACTGCACATTCTGTGCACATAAACAGCCTAATGGTGCAGTTTGTAGTGGTCATCTCTTTTGCTCTTAAATTATTTCTATCTATTGATGTCAATGGACAAATAAAGTTTCCTTTGGGGGAGGAGAGGTGAGAAATCAGACTCCTGTTTTTCAATACAGATTTTTTTAGAGCTGGAAAATAACTCTCTGGAGATGTGTTACAATTCACCAAGGGGTGTTTTAGGCAGCTGTTGAAATGAATCTTTGCAGCTGTTGTCCAACAACAGTTTTACAGTCTTCCCATTCCCCTGTAGCTGTCTGTTCTTCTCTAAGTGAATAACTATCCCATCTTTAATAACCAGCTTGTGACTTATTTAAGGTTTTAATGCTGCCTCTTTGCAGCAGTTGGTGCTTCTGCTTCAGCCCCACTTGACTGGTATGTGTCTGTTAGACTCATGGGTGGGATGTTGCTGAATTGAACTGGATATATTCAAAGGCACAACTCACTACGTGGATGGAATTCTGCAGCTGATCAAGTGTCTGTAACCACAGTAAGACATCAATTTAGCTACTGAGTTCTTAAGCTAAAATGCTTGTTCTTGAGGTGAACATTAGAGAGACTTATAACCAGATAGAAGTTTGGCATCCAACAGAGGGAAACAAAAAATGGTTTTTTGGGAGACAAAATGCATTTAAGCATTTCCACTCATTACTAGAATTACTACATGTGCATCTGCATGTACATCTAATTGTTATCTTCACCTCATTTCTGTTTGTTTTCTTTTAGACTGTGAGGTGTTTTAGCAGTAGTTGACCTTTTATACAGCTTTAGTGAAATGAGCACATTGTAGCTATTATTTTAATAAAAATAAAATCATCGGGTAAGAGTCAGGCAGCTGCATAAATCCTCCTCTGGGCTGGACTCTACAGGTGTTCTGCAGAGTCAGCAGAATTCTGTTACTATCAGGATCACACTGCAATACTCGAAGGTAGGAGGAAATTTGAACATAATGAATTTTTAAAACCTTAATCATTGTCAATTCTTAATTGCCAACTTCTGTTTTCTGCTGCCAAAAGAAGATGCAGTCATAAAACCAATCCAGATAACTTCTCCTTTAGCACCCATTTTGGATCATTGTAGTGTTTCTTCCATTTGCAGTGCTTTTTTTTTTTTTTTGAGTACTGATACTAACCAAGATCATCTATTGTAATTGACAGAATGAGCAGGTGAACCCATTAGCCACACATGTAGCTATTTCGATAGAGATGATTTAGTTCAAAATAGTCAGCTGTCAGGGTACATCTGCTCAGAAGGCTTCCCAGTGGCTCTTAGGAGAAGCAAAACCAGGAAAGGAACCAATATTTGATGCACAGTTTTAGTTTGGGCCAACCGGATACTGTCAGGCTCTGACAAGTGAGTCAGGTAGTTGTGCACTGAAACTTCCTTCCCATCAGGAATCTTCCTACAATTACTTCTGTTTCAGGCTCGTCCTGTGGCCATTTACCTATTTATTTCAGTAACAGTAGCTAGGCTTTGCGCTTCATGCTTCATTTACCTTTATGCTTGCTCCCACCACACCAAAAGCCACAGTTATCGTCAGGTGTACAGTATTAAAGTTGAACAAAGAGGGCTTGTGCCCATCTGCTGCAGGGTATATGTTGAATACAGGAAATGGGGATTCATGTTCGAGCATGGGAGTGGCTAGTGCTTTTGAGAAAATGCTTCACACTGCCATATGTATAAAAAACCAGTTTTGCATATTAAGTTGACTTGCATACTTCATCAAGTAGTGAGTAGACACAGAAATAACAGATTTATTTGCTCTCTCAATTTTATTTTAGAGGACAGCTCAGTGTGAGAGAACAAGCCCATGTATACATCTCGGTAAGGTATCAACCGAAGACTTTATGTTTTGATACATTTTGGTATATATTTGTCTTCATGTTCGCAGGAGACTATTTGCCCAAATCTTTAGAAGGATTATTTGTCTACGAAGAAGAAGGTGCTGGAGTTCCAGGTTCTAACAGGAAAGGAAATGATGCAATAGTTGTTGAACAATGGACAGTCATTGAGGTAAATTGGTGATTATTTAGCAATGCTATTTCCTACTTGTTTTTATTTTCTTTTTTTTTTCCTTAGAATGCTTGTACCAGTGTTTGATAAACATTCAGGATGGTTTATTGAAGCCACCTGCCTAAGCTAAACTGAAGCCTTGAATCATCAAAATGAAGTCAGGCCCGTGACCATTGGTCAATGTGGGTAAAAGAAATAGGCTGCTGGAATTCTGGCCTGACACTTACCAATGTTCATGCCAACACATACAACCACCAAAGAAAATGTGATTTTTTTTTTTTTTTTTTCTTTATATGTATGTGTTTCAGACCAATTTAGACATAATTTCAGTAAGTGTAGCTCCACTGACAGTATGCTGAAATATTTCTAAATAAAAAGGAGAAGAAAATGGCAAAAAAACTAAGAACAAGAAAAGAATCAATAGCGACTTGAATATTGTTTTCAGATTTAGATTCTTAGTAAAATTTTACTGTTAAATATGAAAGACTTAATTTTTCATAAGTTTACATGTACTACTGTAGGATGGTACAGCAATAAAATTAATGTTTCCGAGTATCTTAATTTTCTAAGATGACTGGTATGAATTAATGACATCTGAGAGTAATCGCTGTTGGAGGATACTAAGGGCTTTTTGAATTTTCAATGATAAAGTTACCAATGTGAAAAGAAACAGCATAAGGCTAGGACCTTGCATATTAAAAAAAGCCAAAGAAAACAACCACCAAACACCCAAAAGCTTAAGTATATATCTAGGTGAAATGCTTGTTGTTCAGATGTGAAGTAAAAAACTAAATGCATCAAAACTGAGACACCTATTATGGTGTTTAAAAAGTTTTAGGCATTAACTTAGCAACACAAGTTTAAATGAGATGTGCTTTGTATGTCTACTGAATCAGGGCTCATACATAAAGTTAGTATGTTCTGTCTGTTTACATAGTCTTCTGTATACTTGACCTTTTCAAATTGTTTTCAGTCCACCAAACTACACAGTACCATGTCATTTCAAAGTATTATCTCATTGTAAATGAGAGAATTGTTGTAATTTGTGTAGAAACATAAATAAACCCTGTACAGAGTATCTTTACTACTTTTTATGATTATTAATGTAGGGGTGTGAAATTAAAACAGATTATGGACCTTTACTGCACACGCTGGCTGAGTTTGGATGGCTCCTGACCTGTGTCCTGCCTACACCTATAGTACGACATGACAGGTACCCAAACAATAGATTACAGCATTTTTTGTGTATAGATCTCAGAATTTATCAAGTTATTACTGTGCACTTAAATCTAAAAGGAAGAAAAAATGGTAATCATGTGAACTGCGTATAAAACATGAGATGTAAGTAGCATTATGGTGAAATCGTTTTTGCCACACTGTTTGAGGGCGACTGATGTTAGTGGGTTTCAAACTAGACCAATAATCCTAAATGTAAAATACATTGTTTACATCTAAACAGTAATGACATTAGGAAACTTTTTATCACATGCCCAGTCCCTGGTAGTGGGGCAGCAAATCTTATATGCTTCAGGTTTAAACAAGTGTTGAAATGTTTCAGTAATTTAGGACTTTGGTGAATGACTGGTTCAGACCATGTAAGAAGTCATGTTGTCACAAGACAGTCATGCAGTGTTTATTGCCAACTAGGGGGGAGAATGTGCTCATCTAGCAAGTTATTTGGCTGTTTATCTTCTTTAATGTAGACATTATGTTTCACTTCAAATACTGTACAAAACTAGTGGATTTCAGTTCCTCTTACTGTCATAGTTTAGATGACTGAGAGGACTGTATAAACATAACAACTAAATAGCAGACATGGATCCGCTCTAAGGTTCCAGGGTGTTTTTGTTTTTCTTTAACAAAAAAATAGTACTGTGCTTTTCAAGGTATCAAGCTAAAAAAAACAGCAAATGAAACACCGGATGAAGTGTACACTTCTTTTTCTCTCTTTTTTTTTTTTTTTTTTTTCTTTTAAATTCTCCTCCCATTAGATTAAGATTGCCAAGGTTTGAAAACAAACAAATGTACTGGGGCATGGCTTAGGGCTCATTAAGGACAATGAAAAGAGTGGGTGACTTGAGTAATCTTCGGATCCAGACCTCACTATTAAATCGATACAGCATGAATAAAGGATGAAAGGTTGTAAGATAACTGCTCTGAGAAAGTAAAATCTTCTTTGAGTGATTTGACGTAATTAAATCAACTCACCCATGTGAGAAGGAAGTTTTTCTGGTCAGAAAATAAGTGTTCAGTTTTTGGCTGTGCTTTTGTAATAGTTGATTTTAACCTACTGGTTAAGTGCAATGACAGAAGAAATTGTGATAAAACAAAATGGCACATTCAGCTAGGGTTTTTTTAAAGGTCTCTGCATTTTTTTCTTCTGAAATTTATGAAAATCTGAACTTGTAAAGCTTCTGCTCCAGAGAGAAGCAGTTTTCAGAATATGAAACAAAATTGTTATCATTTTAATACATTTTTTTCAAACAAAATTTCATAGTCTAAGTCTGTTAGCTTTGAACGTGGTGACTTGTGATGGTATGTGAACTGCTGAGCCTGATTTTCATAAGCAGCTCAAATTTTTGTCTAAACCTGAAGGGCTTGATAGTAACCCTTCAGGATCAGGATCTGCTTCTTGAAGGACGAGTGGATAGCTGAAGAGAAATATTTTAGTAGTCTTGGTGTGCTGTGGCTCATAGGATGAGAGCAAGGTTTTTAACCCCAAACCTCTTCTATCCTTCAAGCAGTGTGACTGTAGCCATCCCTGTAGGGTTTGGACAGCAGGGTCAAGGTGGCCCTGAGCAGCTGCTGGTCAACCACTCTGAGTATCTGCCTATGCTTGCAAAAGGCAAAATGGTGCTGTTTTGTACTTCACGGATTGCACGCGGGGCGAAGGCAGGGCAATTTAAAAGAAGCTAAGTGCTGTAAGGAAGCGCACTAGATGTCTGCAGTAGCGTGGCTTCCCAGATGTGAAACAACCCAACCCATTAATAATAGCTGTGATCATGGAAAAGGGAGTTGTATCCTGGCCAAACCTGAAGTTGGATTCATTTTATATCAATACTAGAATAGTTCAGACTAACAAAAAGCATTTGTTTTATGGCCTAAATGGTTGGGTGAGTGTCTGCATGAGTTGTCTAATACCTGTTTTAGCGTGGCTTGTGAGATACTTCTGGAAGAAATATGATAAGTCAGGTTTTGTGTCCTTGTAGTGTATCTCATATACCATTATTCAGTTTTCTTTTTACAAAGAAAAAAAACTTGTAAACAAGAAATCCTAATGAGGAATTAAGAATTCTTAAGAGTCCAAAAAAGAATGTGTTTCTGTCGTGATTGGCTAAGTTAGTGATTGATAAATACTATTTTTAGGCATTGATGTTGTTATTTAAAGAGGAGAATAAATTCCTGGATGGTTACTATGTGTCTGATATGAAAGATGCCATTACTGTGGTGGTGGACTATCCTAGGAATGCAAGTTAAATGTCTTAATAAAGAAGGGCACTTTTATGCTGCCAAACAGCTGGTCTTTTCCCAGACTTGGAACTCTGACCTCAAAACTCAGCCTGAATATTAATAGACTTTAGAAACACTGATAGAAGAAAATAAGCAACACTTCTGAATGATGTGGCAAATTAATCCTTTCACATTTATTAAAAAAAAAATAATTTATACAAAATATATAAAGAAAGTTCTGTCTATGAGTGAAGTGCTAGTAGGGCAGCCTGCTCCCCACTTTTATTCACTGTAATCTTTTGCTCTATTCTCAGTCTTCCTCTTCTAATTTATTGAAAAACTTTCCCTCATCTCAGATCTTCTGTGATCTGCTCCTAGCTGTCATGCCCACTGCTCACCTGCAAGCAATCAGGTTCTGGGGTGTGACAGGATTGTTATGCACTGATGTGTCCTTCTCTTTTTAATGTGGTTAGTTTTTGAAACAGTTTAAAAAAACAGGCTGTCCTGTCTGGTGCCCTTGTGGTTTGATGGTTGTTTGAAGTTCTTTTTTTTTTTTTTTTTTCCCACAAGATGTTCCTCTCCATAAAATAAAATATCCTGTTATATCCTGTTGTATGGAGTGTTATGCCATGTGATAGCTGAATGTCATGGACCACCGTCCCATTTCAGGCAGGGGCAGCAGTCTGTAGGCCTGTTTAGTCCTTTAACTCCTACGTAAATGACTAGATCATGTTGAATGCAGGAAACATTTCCTGGAGAAATGTTATCTTTGCTGTTACAAATAGAGCAACGGTAGACCTTCCAGTACTTAAAGGGGGCTACAGGAAAGATGGGGAGGGACTCTATCAGGCAGGGTAGGGATAGGATGAGGGGCAGTGCCTTTAAACTGAAAGAGTGTAGATTTAGATTAGATGTAAGGCAGAAATTCTTCACAGTGAGAAGTGGTGAGGCCCTGGCCCAGGGTGCCCAGAGCAGCTGTGGCTGCCCCCTCCCTGGAAGGGTTCAAGGCCAGGTTGGACGGGGCTGGGAGCACCCTGGGCTGGGGGAAGGGGGCCCTGCCCGGGGCAGGGGGGTTGGGACTAGGTGATCTTTAAGGTCCCTTCCAACCCAAACCGTTTTGTGACTCTATGTTATAGTCTTGAAACATGCAGAGTTGCTATTTTGTGCAGTGTTGTTTGTAAAATAAGCACTGTGAGTTTGGGTTTTTTTTTTGGTTTGTGTGTTATAAAACCCACAGAAGTTCCCCTCTTCTGTCAGAGATTCTTTTTCCAGAGATACAAACAAACAGAGCACATAATGCAATGTTTGTTGTTTTCATACATATCCTGGGTACTCAGATTTTGCTAGCAATCAAGAATTTTTTTGACCAAAAAAGAATACAAGACAGATTCACAGTAATATTAGTGACATAAAGAGCCTCCTGCATTATATATAACCCTAACTAGGTAAATGTCCTCAAGACAAGAATTTGACAGTAATTATGCCAAGTTCAGAAGCTATATAGTGAAGATAAAAATAATAGTCGCTTTAGAAGTTAAATCTAGTGAGTGAAAAAAAAAGTTAGAAAATACTTTGCTGGTAACTTAAGGCTACTGCAGTTATTAATATAATGATATCGTGAGTTCGTAGAATTTCATACATGTTTGTGGTCTAAAATAAGAATTACTTCTAAGTTTTTTTTGAATTTTTCATTAAAGAGGAGGCTTACTATCCTAGGCCTGGTATCTGTCCCGTAACTGAAAGTCCAGATTCTGTGCAATTCCAAAGGAGTGCAAACCTATTTTGGGAAATGCAAAAAAACTGAGTTGAAAGGATTTGTTATCTTGCTCCTTTTGTTCATTTTTTCAGAAAACTTTGTCTAACCTTAATTCTAAGTGCTTTGTATATAAAATGTTCGTGTGTTTAAAAAAAAAAAAAGTAAAAATTGAGCCATTGGCAGTACTACTTAACTTCTAGCTTGATGTTTGTTTTGCAGAATGTATTAAATATATACATGTAAGAGGACAAATTTACTGCCTGTAAAGCATAAGCAGACAAGCAGATTGCTGGTGTTTTAACAAAAGAGTCTCTGTTGCTCTTCATCCCTCTTAAAAGAAGAGACAGGAAAAAGGCTTCAGCAGCCTTACTCTGTGGTGACCTTTATTTCCCCTCAGTGATCACTGTAGTCCCTGGAAATAGGCAAGGCAGCCTGTTAGAGCAGGCAGGCAAATACAGTGCAACACCGCTGACTTTGTAGATATTAATTCATCATGACAATCTACTTAATCTAAGTTTTCGAAATGGCCCTGACTTACAAGGCAAAGAGGGAATGTGGAAGTGTGAGTGGCTTGCTCTAAGCACTTTTTCTCATTTAAATTCTGTGGAAATCCCACTGTCATTGAGTTCTTTGTGAATTAAGCTCATAGCCACTTTGTCGTGTGTGGCATTTTAATAAGGTCAGACTCAGAAAATTGTTAATTTACTTATTGTCTACTCACCATCGTGTCCTTTTTCTGTTCTAGTAGAATTTGTACAAGCTGTAGCTTAATGTTTGGGGTTTTTTCTTTTCCCTGAAGGAATGCAGACACTGTTACAAAATAAGCCCTAAGCTCTTCCCCATGCCAGAGACAGTGCTGAGCCTTCTCACTTAGAAGAGCGATTTCCCAGTTGATATTATCAAAACAGACATAACTGAGGCAGGGAGGGATACCTAGCCGAGTGGAATAAGGTTGCAGGATTGCAGATATTCTTGTCATGACATAAAATTGTAACACACTTTCTTTTAATGAATGCAAATAGTGAGGTAGGGGCTCTCAGAGTAGGAAACTGTGTTAACTTAGGAAAACTAACGAGTTCATTCTCCTGCATCCTTGTTTTTCCCCACAAGCTGGAGTTTAATCTCGTTCTTTATTCTCATCCAAGGAAGAAATGCAAAGATGTTCCGTGACCTGAGCTCAGCCGGACTGAAAGGAAGATTGTGAGGGGCCAAACACCATCACAAAACCATCATCACTGACTATTGATCAGATATAGCAGAGTGTGCTGGGAATAGTGCTGTTCTGTGTGCTTTCTCAGAGCTTACTTCCAGAAGCTCTACTGGGGCAGGCTGTTAACAAGCTCTTCCTGATCTCCTAAGAACAGTTTTAATCCCTGATTTTTGTTTCTTTGGATCAAGTTTCTAATGTTAAATACAAATTAATTCTATCAGTCCCAGCCCTGGCATAAAACATGAATCAATTACTTCCACTTGACGCGTGCGGATAAGATTGTGACATACCCATGCTGAAGTATGAGCTTACATTATTTTAGTAGTTCTTTCTGTGATGCTGTGCATAATCATACTGTTTTAAGATTGATGGAATGCGTAGAATCATAGATACTTCAAATTAACTCACTATGTGTCTCTTGTTTCTATTTTGCTACTTCTCTTCAGCACATTCTTGAATCTGTAGTCACACTTCTGCTAAAGTATTTTAGTGTCTTTTCTTTATATGCATGAAGATCTCATTGAATACTGCCCAGAAGCAGGAGTTCAGGGGAGAGTAGTTTATCAAAATGTAGTATCTGATGTTTAGAAGAGCACAATAATTTTTTAAACCCTCCCATCCTAGAGCTCTGGTCTTGGAATTCTTGCACTCTTCTAGTGTCATGGAGGTGAGCTTTGTAGTACATATCCAATCAATGTGCTGATGTGTATTTCTGATAGAAAGGTGATGAAAATAAACACATAGAAACTTCAAGAGGATGTATCAGGACTACTAAGTGTAACACTTCTGAAACATCGTGTCAGTAACATCTGGTTTGTTCTTGAGGAGAAACTTTGCCTTTTCACAATTATTTTTCTAAAAGTATTTTCTTCAGGGAAAGAAAAAAGGAAAATGAACAATATTCCTGTGAATTTTCTACCACAACAGTTTCAACATTTGTAAAAGTTCCAGGGCTGAAAACTGTAGTTCCTATTGTTTCTCCTTTATTTAACTTACTACTATATTATTTTCTCCATCCTATGCATGTACCTCCCATGTACAAAACAGTGTCGTTTATCTCATTGTGGATGTAGAGCTTAAAGAAGGCCTGAGCGGAGTCCTTTTATCCATAGATGGTGACAGCAAGTTTGTCCTGCTGTGTCAGTTAGATGTCATGTTACAACCAGAAAACACTTTTTAGGTAGCAGTAAAGATTGTTAATTCCCAAGTCTCGTTCCGCTAAGTATCGACATGTTTGTTGAAGCTGTGAATCAGTTTAGATTGTGCCTACTTGTTGTGGCATTAATAGGTAGTAATATGCTGCTGTATATTTGACAGTGAAGATTAGGTGAAAGAAAGACTCTGAGGTTTACTTCAGACATAAAGGTGCAGACTTTTAATCAAGTTGGGGCTCTGGTACTTAAACTTTCAAGAGCGGACATGTTAAATAACTCTAATCATAATAACATAAATTTTTAGTTTACAAATATTGTCGTGTATAACACCTTAACCTAGCTTTATGCTTCTAGGTTTTTTTTTTTTGAAGTGTGATCACAGAACTGTTCAGAAATTAACAAAACAGTTAATGCTTTATAGTCTATCCTCTTCTCACTCATGGACTTACATACACACAATTTACAGTTGACTGAAAGATATGAATGTGTTACAGTGACTATTATTGCCTTTAAATTATTGAAGCAATTTTCTTCAAATTTTAGTGAAGGAAATCTGGCCACAAAGCAAGTAATTTTTCTTCAAAGACCTGTTATGTGGAATTCTGCTGTACAGACACCAGAGGTGAGTAACGTGTTATTAATATAAACAAATTAGTACTTGACATAATGGTTAGGTACAGAAACAAATGAGAGTTCAGAATTAATGGGGGGAAAAAAGTGGCAGAAGAGCGTTTCACTTAAAGCAAGTTCAAGTTTGTGGAAGGCTTTTGCAGTTGAACTTATATGTTCTGGTTGTTTTCTTAGCCATATACCTCTTAAATTATGCCACAGAGAAAAGCATAAGCATGCTAAAAGCCTGTTTTGTGCTAGGAAATCACTGTCTTGGGTGGATGAGGCTGGCTATGCTGTAAATATTTCTTCAGAAGTCGGCAGGAAGTCTTAAATGTTCTGATTCAAATCCTGGATCTGCTGCACATGGAAAAGAAAACATTTTATTATGACCTCCAAAACAGCTACTTTCACACTTGTAGAAGAATACAAGTGTCAAGCTGTGCAAGGGCTACTGTAATCTGGAGGTTGACAGGTTGAAGGGGTGTTAACTGTTGCTGCATGAAAATGTGTGACAAATAGGGGACTTAAAACTCCTGCAGATGGACCGGAACAACCCCCTGTCCAGTTTGTGAGGCTCTTAGAGCGGTTGTATAAAAGCGCTTTGAGGATGAAGTAACTGGCAGTCACTGTGTTCTGCTCAGTCAAGGTCACAGCAGTTGTTGCACTTCTGTAGTGCTATAGTAGATCCTGCTGTGGCCAAAGAAGGATGAACTACTGGTGGGCTCTTCTTTGCCAAGTCTTTCAACATTCCATGATGGGTTTTAGTTTTTGTTACTTCTATTTTTCCAATGGCCATTCAACCTTTCTCTAAACAGCGTGACTTTCCTGTGATAATCTTCAGCAGCTGTGAAAACTACGGATGTTCTCACTCATGTCTAGCATCAGAGTAGTAATTTCACAAATTTAGTCATTCATGGTGTTTTATACTATTATAAGGCAATGATACCTAGTCTCTTCTTTCTCCATCTGTATAAAAAGACTTGCACAAGTCTCTGAAGTTCTTGCATTCATATTGGATCGATCTCTGTCCTTTTTACCTTCTATCCAGTCTGTTACCATCATCTGCATTTTCCTCTGCTTACTGTTTCTAAAATATATTCTCCCTTTTCTTTTTTTCTGTACTTGTCCAGACTTCTGCTTATCTCCGGCCTATCTTCTCTCTCACTGTGTCCCCTGACAATTACTACTTCCATGCCTGGAAGAACTGCGTTCAATATGCACAATTAAAGGCCCATTTTCGTTTTTTGTGTCTAATGCCATCTCAATTCCCAGCTAGTTCTTGTACACTTTCTATAATTTATTTCCTCATTTACACAATTTGAGCTTCTGGTTTTTTTTCTCTTCAGTGTAATCTCCCTTGCCAATGTCTTAATCTCCTCTTCCATTGATACCCTGTTCTAAATTCTGCTAGTTCCTCGTACAATATTTTCCTTTAATTTTCCCCTGTATACCAAGCAGCTTTTAGCATACCTGCAGCTTCTAGCTTCCAAAGCTTCTGACCCCTGCTTCCATGACTGACTTTGTAGTCTGTCCTAATACATTTCTGAAAGTATGTTTTGGAACATAATTGGGATATCAGTATTGTAAATATATAATGCCTTACATCAGTTATATCAAAGTCATACTTTTCCAGATGCTTTCCTACCTTTATTTAATACTCTCTATAATAAGGTCATGGATGCTGATATGAATACTCCTTCCTTGGTAAGGCATGTTATTTCTAACTATAAGCACCTCTTAAAAGGCATCATAACTACATGACACAAGTTAGAATTCATTCTGCCAGGAGACGTAATACAAACCAGTTCTTTAAAAACATTTAGTCTGAGGAACTGATGCATTTGAGACATGGCTTAAATTAAAAATAGGAAGCATTATGCTCACAGTTTAAATTCTCAGTTGTGAGGTGATCAGCAGCTTTGGTTTATAGAAATAAAAGTGTGCTTTGTGGTTATTGTTTTATTTGTAGTAGTGGGAAACCTCTGACTTAAGCATTAACATACTGGAAGTAAATAAGAAATAACTGATTAGTAGCCATCAACATCAGGGTTACTATGTTGAAAACCTGAACAAATTTAGTATCTAAATGTGCTCTTTAAGTACCAGTGAAATGTTTTACTTCTCTACCAGGAAATTTCAGTATGCTGAGGTCATTTTAGCATGGGATAAATAGGTAGTTCAGGCTGAAGCTGAAACGTTTAGCAGAGTAACATTTTTCTTGTGTTTTTCCAGTTAGGTTGGTTTTCCCCTGGATTTTAATCTTCTTACTTCATTGTTTTTTTTACCAAAATGTCTGAATTGGCAAACAGGATATTACCCTCATTACAATTTAAACTCACAGATTTGGTGGTATACCTAACTGGTTCAGAAAGCTACCCAATGCAAAGCTTGCATAGCAAAATTTCAGGTGCAAAAAACAAGCTACTGAAATATGAAAGCATTAACTTTTGCTCTAGAAACTCTAATATGTTTATTTTAAATGTCCCCTGGGCATTGACAACATAGCCATACAACTTTATCAAACCCTTGCAAACATTTTAGTAAAAACATTTAATTGCTGTGATTCTGTATTGCTGGGCATGACATCTTCTTTTTCATTGGTACTGCCCATCTTTTTGTTGATGTTCAAATTACATTAAAGCTGTTATGTAATTTTCATATCCACAACTTAAGACATTTTTGAAACACATAAATACCTAAGATATCTAAAAATACTTAAGATATGTAAAATGTTTTAAGTTTAAAAAATTTGTATCACAATTTATGTTTGCTTAAGCATACCCTTAGCATGTTTGCAACTGATACCTTGGGAAGAATCCTACCTATGAGAGAGTCAGTCAAACTACAGAACCAACAAGGCTCTTCACTGAAACAAGAAAGCAGCCTCATACAGACCTTCTCAAACACTTACTGATGAGGCCCCTGGAGCCCTGATCCCGCCACGGCTCAGCTCCCCCCAGTGCAGTGGGGTCTGGCCGTGGCAGCACGTGCGCCCCACAGGCAGCTCATGTTGTGGAGGACGGCAGCACGGGGTTCAGGTTGCTTTATGTGCTCAGTTATCTTTTTCTTAATTATTGGGTTGAAGTTAGCATTGCCATTTCTAGAGGAAGCTTTGCTTCTGTAGGAGTTTTCTCTAGGGGAAAAAAGGGGGAAACCCCTACTACCTGGTCTCTTTTTCCCACAGGGTCTCTTTTCTGAGGAGGGCATATTTTATGTCTTACCAGTTCATCTCTCTGCCTTCTTGTGTATTCGTGGGATAGTGCATTGTGACCTGGCTTATGATTTATGTATAGTTCAAAGGCCTCTTGGATTAGAAGGGCTATACTGTCTCAGTGGGCTCATTGTTTATCATACACCACTTGATTTTTCTAAGAAAATAGCTCAGAGGAAGAGATCCAAGATTGAACCACACAGTGCTTGAGGGTTTTCTGGTTTGGTTTGGTGGTGTTTTGTTTTTTTGTTTTTTTTTTTTTTTTTCCTCCTCTTGTTTCCTTTATTTCCCTTAAGCAGACTTCCCCATCCTTCTACTGTGGCATCCAGGCAAACCTTATTTCCTTCTGTTTCTCCTGAGGCAACACTGTTTCCCCTTAGTCTAATTTCCCAATGTCTCCTGTAACAGCTTCCCTAAATACGTTTCCTTTAGCCACAAGGGCCATTGTTTTTACTGTTTCAAAAGGGTTTGAGGAAAAAAACTTCGCAATGTATAGAAGGAGGGGCACAGAACTCAGTGGTGTGTAGCAAAAATACTTGTGGGGTGTTTTTGTTTTTAAAGTGTTTGCATTTGTGCACATCCCCCTGCAAGAGTGCTCGTGTCCTTTACCCACTGAATTGCAGCTCCGTGCTGAGGCTGTGTTCCTTCTTAGCTAGATGTCGTCTTCCAGTGGAGAGGGCTGTGTCTCCTGGTTTGGCCGTGCTGGTGCTGACAGCCTGGCTCCAGGCCGGCAGCCGGGGCACTTCTGCCGTCCTGACCCTGCTCCTCTGGTGTGACTCAGGGCACTGACACTGCCTCTGGAGATGCTGCATCATCACAGGTCTGGTCTGAGTACCCCGGGTAGCTCCTGATGCTAAAATTAAATAAACCTTTTATTTATTTGTGATGATTCGGAGGACCTTTAGCATAGTCTGATAGGCCTGTTTGCAAAAATGAAAATCTGCTTCCTTTTCTTTTTGACATTGGCATTGGCAGCCATCCCTTCAAGAAGCGTGTGAGGAGATCACAGTACTACTGTCGGGCTAGATTTATATCATGTTCTTCCTGTGCAAGGTCTCTGCAGACCCCCTCTCACCTTGCTGTACAGGACAGCCACTGACTTCTGTTTGCATAGATCCACCATGTGGATTGAATGCAATTCTCAAGAAACTTGCTGTTATCTGAGGAGGCTTCTGAAGGTCTTCCCGGGGAGAACTGAGAAGATGGGAAAGCTTATTAAGTCTCACCATGAGATGGATCAGTGGGCAATCTTTCAGTCCTGTGAAGCGATCAGATCTCGCTTCTCAAGGGCTCAGTGTCGATGGATTCACATCTTCCTCGAATATTGCGTTCTTGTTGAAGCTTCCAGACAGACCTGGTTTTGGGGAGCTGATCCGCATCCACGGACGCTCAGACCAGCTTGCGGACAGGGGCAGCAGCCGGGCGTTGTGCAGGGGGGCACGTAGATCCGTGCGTGAAGGAGCGCGAAGGCCTGCCTGCAGCGGCGGCTGGGGCCCCGCGGGCCGGGGGAGGCCGCGGGCGGGAGCCGCGCCGGCCTGCAGCGTCCCGGGCGCAGGCAAGGGCAGCACACACCCCTGGGACAGTCGGGGTACGTTAGGTGTGCCTGGTGGGCACAGGAATCACGCGTTCCTCAAACAGCTGGTTTTGGCATGGATGAAGAGTTGTCAAGCATGCCGGATCTGCCAAGTACTATGTAAGAGCTGAGTATTGTTGAAGTACGCCTTAGCATTCGTTTGTGCTTGCTCCCATCTCAACTGCCTTTTGTCTTGTTTGTCTTGAGTGTTTTGGGTTTTGTTTCTCCAGGGGAGTTCACAGTTTAAACCAGAGCATTAAATGCTGCCCTATGTTAAAATGCAGCTCATGTTAAATCCACGCTAGGCTCATCGCAAACTGTTTGGCTTCCCTCCTGCCCCTAAATAACCTAACATTTAAATGTTGTCTTGTATTTCAGAGGAAATCCTTAAGACAAGTTATTGGGGAGGAAAAAGGCAAAGTCTCTAGCAGAAGTGTTGGATTAGACACATCTACTTCTCGCCCTGTAGAAACGGGACAACCACCAGATGAGTTTCGCCTATCTCCTTCTAAACAATGTTGGATCAAGGAGGGATCCTCCCAGTATGGAGGCTTTGCAGGATTCAGTAGCAGTGATGGAGTATTAAGGGAACTGGATGATGGACAATTTGACCAGGAAGATGGAGTCACTCAGGTCACATGTATGTGATAAAGTAAGTAACTGCATTAGATGGACGTGTACATAATTCACAGACATGTTTTAAAAAAAAAAAAGGGGGGGGGGGAATCATACTACTTTAAATGCATTGGTATAATCCTATAACTTTTTTGAGACTCGTTTTGTATTTTTGTCTGTTTCTTTGTTGTGTTAATTCTACTGTAGTAATAATACTACTGCAAAATAATTTGGCTTTCTGTCTCTTTAATAGAATAACTACATGATTGGGTACTCTGCTAACTTGTTAATGCTTTTGATAAGCAAGGAAGCAAATGCTGCAAAACAGTGACAGTTTGAATTGTGAGAGAGAAAGGCATGAGGATGTTTAGTGTTTTCCACAAGCTGGAGGAGTGTTTATTTTTTTTCCTTTATGGGTGTTGTAAATATTGGTGGGGAAAATGAACTGTCTAGCTATTGGTAAGTTTTGATGTAATTTTCATTTTACTTGCAGAAATTCAAAAGCCTAGAGAAATGTTAAGTCTTACACTAGAGTGTTAATAATTTAAGCTGTGTTCAGACTTGGTATGTACAGAAGACCTCGGGAGGCTCTAGGCAGACGCTTGCTCCTATGATAGAATTTCACCTATGCAGGTTTTACCAGGGTTTGTTGTACATCTAAGCCGAAAGCTATCTAAGCATATAGTTTATGTAATGATGTATTCATAATTTACTCATGAGTGGAAGTCAAGAATACTCACCCCCTGAAAGATAACTTGCAGTCTATGAAAAAGTAGTTTGAGAAAGTCAGTGAGCACCACTGATGGTGAGGTGCGCAGTGATGCTGGTAATACACAGGAGGAGTTAGTAGGCTAACCTTAATAGCCTGTATTAGACCACAGACTACATACAAATATGCTGATGTATATACAAAATAGTACTGAGCTAAAGATACCTCTCACTGGGTGGAGTGTATTCAACTGCATCAAATACCAGAAAGCGTGTTCAGAGGAGAGGATGAAGTTGCTGTGCTTGCATCCTCGCCGTGGGGAGGAGCTGCCTGCATTAAGGGAGGTTAACACCGGCAGGGCTGCGTGGGGACAGGCTGAACAACATACTGGTGTCTGGAGATGACGTTTTACAGAGGAGAAGCTGAATAAAAATACATCTCCAGAAGGTAAACATGGTTATAACTAAAAACTGAATTTTTGAGTTTCAGAAGCAAAAAGTGTAAATGCTTGTCTCACTTAAACTAATGGAGAATAATTTGGTCAAAAAGAGAAACGGGAACAGAACTGAGCAAATGTATTCACAGCACGTGTGGCTGTTAGCAGTACAGCACGGGCATGGCCTCGGGATGTTGGTGGGCTCCGTGTGAGGTGTGTTGCAAACACGGAGAGAAACGCTGTGAATACATTTAGCCAGCCCAGCCTGCCCCCCCGGGCCGTACCCCACCAGTGCCCAGGGAGAGCGCTGGGCCAGCGAGTGCCGTGGGGGGAGCCCCGGGGGGGGCCCGGCACCTGTGCAGGGAGAACACTGGCGGAGGCTGCTTGTTTCAATAAGCAAAAAGTAACTCGGGGAAAGAAGAAATTACCCTTGCCAATGATGAGCAGAAGTAGTCCAAGGCCGTAGTGCTATTTCAATTTATTTTTACAAGGCGGGCTGCAGGGGAAACCCTTCCTACTTGTGTGATTGTCTTAGTGGGAGCTTGCAATGGTGACTGCTTTGGAGCTGCTGCCCAACTTCATCGTGAAATTGTTATTTATTTTTCACTTCGGAAGAGCAACTCCAGCAACTGTTTGTAGCAGGTTTGGGTTTTTTTCCAAAGAAATTCACTGCCCTGGAGCTGGAGACATTCCTTCAACTTTTGTTTCTTTTCCCTTTTGCACTTGTTGAAAAGGGCAGCTTCTATTTTCTCAGTTGTATTTCTTACAAAAAATGCTGGCAGCCTGGCAAAATAGTTCTGAATTGTGACTCTCAAGAGCCAAATACATGCCAGAAATTACCTTTTATAAAGCAGTATTCCTGCTTAAGATGGCTCACAGTAGTGAATCCTAAACCAAAACTGAACTACAAGGATTTAAAGAAGTTAAAACATGTGAAGGAATAAATTGAATGCAGCTGATCTGTCTAGAATACATTAATTGGATAAAAAGAATCATCTTTTAACTGAGATAACCTCCTATCAGCTGTTGAGAATGCAGAAAATTCAAATAACTTAGTATCTTCTTATTTTTAAAAAAACTTTTTCCCCTTACAACTAATCGGATGTACACAAGAGTGTTTTGGAACAAGGGCAGAAATTGAGTATGCTCTGGATGTGCACAGGAACACTCTAGAATATCCCCACTTTTAACAAGAAAGGCTGTTCTTAAAATGAAATAAAGCCATGTTCCTTTCCAGTAGCCCACAGTTTTAACTGTGCTTCAGTCCTTGCTCTTGAATCTCACAGGTGTTCACTCTGCTGCAAACATCTGAATTTTTCTAGTCTTCCTAATTCAGTGTTAACATGCTAAATTGTTTCCTCTGAACCCATTTAGCAATGCCTATGTAGTTAAGGACAGCTTTTTGTAAAGTGCCATTTGTCTGACAGTATGTAAAGTTGCCTCTGTAGAAACATTAATCTAGATTGTTTTCCTAGCTCTCTGATGTCTTTCACCCACCAGGGCTACATTTAGGCTCTGTATTGGAAAAAAATACATTGCTAGTCTTCACCTGAAAGTCAACCTGACAGGAGCCAAGACAGAGATCTGTGAAGTGAATGGCATGTAGAAGGTAGCAAAGGAATAAATTCCTTAGGGTTCTTCTGTTTGTTTGGTTGGTTTTTTTTTTTTTTTTTCTGATACAAGAACTCGAGGGAATCATGCCAGTGGTAAGTAGCAGGTTTGAAACAAATCACGGAATCTAATCAGCCAACTGGTGAACGCCTTGCTGCAGGGCGCTGTGGGTAAAACTACAGGGATTTAAAAGATGACTGAAAAATTCCCGAAAGGAAAACCACCGCCCTATTCTCTCTGAAAGTCACTGAACCAGAAACTGTTGGAGACGCTGAAAGCTGGTCTGACTGACTGCACGCGAATCCTGTTCTTCAGATCGTCAGCACCGGCGCTTCGTCCCTGGTGGGCAGGGAGCCGAGAGCGTTCTCCTGCTGCAGGGCTGCCTTTCAAAAATCAGGGGGAGTAAGGTGCTTGCTGCGCCTGTGTGAAGACTGTGCAAGAATTACCTGACTGCGTGCACTAGAACACAGAATAAACCACCCCTGTTCTTCGGGCTTGGATGCTGAAACCAGAAATAATTTAAAACGTTTCTGAAACAAATGATGGAAAATCTTCTGGTTTGCTCTTTGTACTTAAAAATTCTGAAAGCTAGCTGTATTTTACTTGGAAAAGTGAGAAGGGGAGGGTGCATTTGGGGTACAGGAGATTGTAATTTAGAGATACTTGTTTCATCACCTGCTCTTACACAAACTAGAGCATTAAGAATGTCTGCCTTTATTAGTGTTGTGGCCAGCACTGTCCATTAATTAAACTTCTTAAATCAGAAAAACTGCCAGAGTAACTCTGGCAACATGATTTTTGTCATATATTCTATTTTTATATGTATATAACTACACACACGCACTGTTTAGTTCTCATTTTACCAGAATGTAGTTTACATACTCATATTATTGAAAGAATTGAAAATCAAACTTAAAGCACGGGTGCATTCTCTGACAAAAAAAAAAACCCAAACAAACTGTTTATTGAATAACAGGTCTTCAGTTAGGAGCCTGTGTGTCTGAAATGTACTAGAATAGACAAGTCCCTTACTTGTACGTGACACCAGAAATGCCCTGCCACTGTTAGAACAGAGATAGATGGCAACCCATGCTGGTCATGAACCTCTGCAAAAGACTGTTTATACTTTCTGATGCTCAAAATGTTTGGAGAGGAAATACTTTTCTAGTGTTTACAAGCAGGAAGAAACAATCTAGTGTAAAAAAAAAAAAAAATGTGCCCTACTTGTAATTGTCAGAACAGTTTATTTACATAGTTGGTCAACTGCAATAAACTGCTGCTTATCTTCTGTGTTTCTGGTCTGTAAAACACTCTTTTTCTTTTTGTACTGTTAAGGATCCCTTCTATAGCTCCAAGAGGAAGCTTCTCACCATTAAAAACACTTACCAAGTCAGCTACCCTTTTCTGAATCGCGTTTGTCTCTCACTGACAGGGAAGGGTTAGGCCAGCATATGCCTTTCCTCAAGCTAGAATTGCTTTCTTGCAGTCTTCTCTGCATCTCCATCCAGCTCACCAGGTAAAGCCTGTGAGACTTACAGCTGTCTATTAAAAGCTGATTAGATTGTCCTCGTTCTTAGTATATTAAGTAAAAAGTACAGGTTTCTGTCTTGACAGTTTCCTATGGCTGAATTTTAGAGAAGTGTTAGTTAGGATTTAGATTTTGTTCAGAGCCAGCTTCCTGTATCAGAACTTCCAGCAGCTGGTGTGAGTGAAGGAAGTGCATGTTCCTGACTCCAGGTGTGTGTAACTTGAAAGAGACCCAGTGGTTTAGAGGAACTGGCCGGGTGACATTATCTGCTTAAACAGATCAGAATAACTTTGACAACATCTAAGAATTAAAATCTCTTTGCTCAGAGTAGCAAAACCACTGTGGCTGACTTGTTGCAAGACATGCTAAGCCAAACGTCAGGAAAAGCCTCGGTGATGGAGGAGAGAGTAATTTTGAAAGTTGTTATGCTCTGCTTACAGTATGTCCTTGCATCAGTGACGTGCTGTCATGATGTGCTTATCGTGCTATCTGGAAGGTCCTCTTCTAGACCTCCCTTTAAGTGGGGAACCAGCATTTTCTGATTTGAAATGTATGAATTTGAGGTCTGACTTCAAGATGCTAACGAGTATTGTATTTCTTTACTTCTGAAAGAAGGAATGCAACTTCACTTCAGCACATGTTGTAGCACAGACGGGAGAGCACCGAACTTTCTCTTGTAAACACTCAGATGCCTGCATTCTTGGACGACGTGAAAAATGAGAATAACTTGCCAAAATATAGTGGTATGGGTAAAGAAACAGTTTAATTTTATCCTTTTTTTTTTTTTTTACAATATAATTCAAAGACAGTCTCAGTTTCCCTATTACGTAGATTCTAAATTTAAACCTGTTAATATTTATTAGACAAATCAATGGTTTGCTTAGTCTAACTGAAGTTTTACGGTACCATTCAGGCACATGTGTGTACACAGTACTCATGTAAACAATAGCAAGGGAAAATACAAGCAGTGTTTCACTTAGGCCTTATAGAAAATCAGCTTAGTATAGCAAGTCAACTTTACAGTGCAAACCTGAATGAGAATAAACAGGATTAAAACTTCCCGAGTTTTGTTCTGAAGTGAAACTTTTAAAGCATAAGAGGAAGAAAAGAGGTTTAAAATTTTAATGCAGTCCTGAGCACCACATCATTTTCTTTAATTTTGCAGAGGAAATGTAATTAGCAACACCAGTGCCCTGGTTTTGCCTGTCTCGGTCAGCGTGGCCCACAGAAGCGTGCGGAGCCCAGGGCCCCGCTGGGGCTGGCCCGGCAGCAGACTGACACAACCGGGTACGGCCTCCTCCCGCCGGACTGCAGTCCTGCGCCCTCCAGCACCGACGGCAACATAGCTATCAAAATCAAGTACCCCGGTCTACACAAGGCAAGTTCTAGCTAGCTGTATAGACAGCAACTAAAGCTACTTTCACTTAGACAACACCTCATGCGATTACCCTGCTGCCGGTTAAATACAATGATAAACATGAGACGGAAAGAGCTGCTGAAGAATACAGCTGCTGAAGTACTTAAGCTTAGTCTCTCTATTTTCTCATTTACATTCCCTTTACATCCAGGTGGTACAGTTGCTTGAGGTGTGCTTGATCCATATAAAGAAAAAGAGAATTTAAGGCATGTTTAGTATATTATAAAAAAAGACATTAAAAATGGGTGGGACTCCCTTCTTTCCAGGTAAATATAATGTAGAAAACAAAGTGTGGATTACAGCAACCAGCTGAGTTAGCCTGTTCTGACCTGCTTAAAGAAATAAAAAGAGGGCCCCTGGCAACCTCGGAGGGAAACAACCAGCTAACTTCTTAAACAGCTAAGCAAAATTCATTTAATGTAAGAACACTGCTAGTGCTTTTAGACCCTGCATTCATGGACGCTTAGCAGTATGTCTGCTATATTCATCTCTAAAACATTTAATTCTATCCTTCTAGACATAACACAATTAAGCAGCACTCATGGAAATTGTCAGTTATTGCAAATCTGCAAACACAACTTGAAATAAACATCTTAGAAGGGAAGAGAAGCATGAATCCAAATGTTTCTGTCAAAGCATATAATTCAGGTGAATGAAGAAAAATTAACAAATGCTGAAAACATGATGAACTCTGGCAAAGAATCAGGTTTGATATTTCAGGTACTTAAACTGGTTTTGCTAGGAATACAAGCAGAGACCATGCTAGTGCGTTATGTAGTGTAACATGACTATTTATGAGGTATAATCTGTAAGCAGTTGCCATAAATATGCACAGGCATAAGCCATTGACTTTTCTGCCACAGTTGTTCTTTAGAGAAGTTGTGGACTGGCGCGCAGCAGAAGTCTGCCTTAACAGGACAGAACCTCTCCCTGGCTGTACACAAACCTCCACTGTTCACAAAAAATCTAGTCCAGAAGGTAGGTTAGATGTGTATCAAGAATATATATGTTCAACAGCATAGTGGAATTGTCCTCCTGGTATTACTAATACTATAGATCCTATTAGTATTTGGATATACACATAGAGAAATATGCATGTCCAAAAGTAAATCTTCAAAGCCGTCTTAAAAAAATAAAAGCTAAATTAGGAATAAGCTACATTGCAAGAAGCTTCCTGCAGAATTATATATTTAAGGTGATAATCTTTGATCTAAGTATTAATATCACTACTGCATTAAGAAATGGCTTACTGTGAAATCTTAGTCTCACTTTTTTCCCACCCAATCAGACACGTCTTCAGGATTGTGACTTAATGATTGTTTAGCAGCAATTTTAGAGAACTGTAAATTCTTTTATTAACAGGCATTATAAACAGATACTACTTTTATTTAAAAACCATGAGTGCCACATCGATGAATATACAGCTCATGAATAACTTAAAGTATTTCCCATATTAAAAGGCAATGCACACAGCATACAAAAAGTATACTAAACAAAGCTATGAGGATACGTGATTGAAGTGTCTAAAATGATATATACAGTACATCATTAATGTTTTGTTTCTATTCAGTACAGGCTTCTGTACTGCCATTCCCATCATGCCTCACTCTCCCCTGACACTGAATTTTGCACTTCTTCTTCCAAAATTGGTACAATCAGGTTATCCTTAGACATCAGATTATACTTCATCACAAACTTAGTGAACCGGTGACACAAGAACGTTTCATTCTGGAGATGAAAAAAGGGGAAAAAACAATATATATAGAAGGAATGTTTTAAACAGTTGAGGAGAACATACTAAAAAACCCTGCTTATATGTAATTGCCTCATTAGATCTACAAGTCTTAGAAAGAAGTAGTAATGCCTAAATGGTTAATTCGTATTACTTCTTACCTACTGCTTGCTTATAGTTATGCAATTAACAACAGGCCCTACTGCAGTTCAGGTGTAAATCACAGCTCAATTCAACAGCACCTGGACAAGAATATATGCCAATATCAATGCAGCCCTGATCCACGCTCCAAAAGAGATTTTTAAGGTATTGTGAAACTTTTCCTGCACACACTGTCCCCAACAGAACGGGGCAGAACCATTCCGTAGCTGTTCCAGCAACCTTAAGTGGGATTTGGCACACGTTTCCTTTTACATCCAGCTATAGCCCTTATCTCCTTTCTATCTATTAACTTCTATCTTTCCATTAAAAAAAAACAAAACAAAAAGTTGGAAGCTACTGGAAGCATACAAGCTTCCACCACCAGTTCCTCCCTTTCTTTGCAGTGTTACAATTACAATTCCTCAACTATTGTGTAGCATGGACAAACAGGAAACATATATACATAAGCAGTACTAACTAAACCAAGTGCTTGAACGATTCAGAAATCTTTTAAACAAGATAAATTTGAGTTGTTTGTACAACGCCTCTCAAATTCTGACCCTTTTTCCAAATGAGGGAAACCACAACTAAGTAAATAATAATTATATAGATTAATTTTCATGTATATGCATGTATGTATAGTATGCATTTCAGTTCTTACAAAACTGTAATCTCCTATAATCAATACTTCACTTGAATGCATATCTTCTGGCAGGACTAAAAGAAAACATAACACAATTACATGACAGCTGTAACTTCAGTAAATGCCCTTATTTCAAGATGTAATTTGAAACTACTTACTTCATATTCATCAAATATCTGCCGGTGATGAAAATAAGCATGTGAAAATATTCTGTAAATCCTTCGGCACACTGATCCTAATTTGGCTACAGAGGATTCCTTTATGCTAACCCTGTAAGCACCGGGAGAAGGATTACAAAAACAGGTCTACCAAAATGATCACCAAGATAGATGTTGACTTGAATTCAGATTGTTAAAACTATACTACATAAATTGCATCTGAAATTCAGACTTAAGTGTTGCAAATATCTGTGTCTACAATTGATTATTTTGGGAATGAAAATGAAAATGTTGGTGAATAATCCACATTTAAAAATTGTGCTCTCACTACAAAAAAAGTTTTGCCTGTAGTTAAACACTATCAGTTACTCTGGTTTTTAGCACTGATGGGCAAAGGGAAAAAGACTTCCAGTCTCCCAGCAAGTGACACATGCAGGGTTTCTGATATTTTCAGTAGCAGCCCATGAAAAATGCGTTATGCCTTTCAATGTGCTTTCTAAGTGTTTAGATGCCACCTCTTCCCTCCCTCCTCCCAAGAGAAAGCATTTTTACCTGCTGGGGAAATATTTATTGCTATTCAGAAGACATGCAGCTCCATCAAGTGTGTGCCTGGTGTAGTCTATAGCAGGACACTACAAAAACAGAGAGTGAGTAAGCACATGTATGAGTGCATGCATGACATTGTCTTA